TGCTCATGTGCTTGAGTGCCTCACATACGAGCTCGTACCCGTCTCTTAGGCCATGCATGCATCGTTTTGGCCCTTTTCCCGGCCTCATAGGGTCGTCTCGTCTCCTGGCCCTTTTTGTCCTCGGGGGTCAAAACCCACTTACGCATCAGACTGGCGCGGCGCGGTGCTGCTTCGCGACGTGGTGCAGGCGTGAAGGGCTGCCGGAGTTGCGGGTGCGTAGTGCAGCAGCGCGGGAGCTACTGTCACGTGGTGAGGTGCAGCGCCATGGAAAAGTCTTGTCTTCACCGTGGAGAAGTTCAGGTGGTGTTGAGTGGCGGTTGTCTCACGGCAAGGAGAAGGTGGTGTCAGGCTTGTTGCTGCGTGGAGGATGTAGTGGCTCGGGCTGTGGGTACGAAGGTTCTTCGGGGCGTGGTGCATAGGTGAGTAGCACGTAAGACGTTGCTTACTTTTTTCCCGGGTTCAGTTGCGCTTGTTTGCCGTTTTTCCCGGTATAATGGTGGCGAACTCTTCTACGAAATTGTACTCACAAAAATAATTTCCTCCCCCATATCAAACGATCAAGCAACTCAACCTGCACAACACTAAAGACGACATAAAACGCAGAAAACGAAGAAAATAATCGAAAAATCACATAAAGATTCTAAATAGATGAAAACACACGACGAGAAACAAAACGGACCAAAACCAACAGAATAAACATAAAATGGGAAAAAATAAAGGAAAGATAATCCCAAAAAATGTAACAAAAATGGGACAAACACTCATCGACCCCTCGACCTTCTTGATGAAGACGAGGATGCAGATGAAGAAGGGTCTGAAGTCCCTTCTTTTCCCCAGGCTTCTCTTAACCCTTCACCTTCTTCGACCATTTCTCCGTCTTCCTCGAGCAAGAAATCTAGCTCCCTTCCCAGTTGCTCGTCTGTAAAACGTTCCTCCAAAAAGTCCCATCCTCGTCACACCGGGATCAACTGGTTTGATCTCGACCTAGTCGGTCATCTTGGGGTTGTCTTTAGGCCCGAGGATGATGATACCTACGACCACCCCCTTCAAGGCTCATACAAATTTTTCCAAGTCCAATTCGATCTTGGCCTGCGCATTCCCATTTGTAATGCTCTGCTCGAGCTATGTGGTCGATACGGCCTAGCCTTAAACCAACTCCGCCAAATGCCTTTAGGATTCTAACTACCTTCATCATCCTTTATGTAGTACGTCTAGGTCAAGTAGACCTAGATTTTTTTGTTTATTGTTACTTAGCCTCAAAACTGGCCGGTGGTTTATACCTCAAGAGCCGAAATAATGCTTGCTTTATCTCCAACCGTCCCTCCAGTGTCCCCATATAGTTAGTTATCATTCTTTATACGATGGACACATGTTCTTTCATCACCTATTTTACTGTAAGATTTTATATGTTGTCTATATCTTTATATCACGAACTCATTATGCCGTGTAAATTAAGTTTGCAATAAGAACTCATTTTATTTTGTTTTAATTTCATTATATCACTGTCATGATACCCATCAAAATTCATCCGCTACTGATATAAAGTTGAAGATGAAGTGGCAACGTTTTTCATAAATTAACTTATTGAGCAAATGGATTGTGCTTGTACGTTAAGAATCGAATTATATAGAGATTGAAATTTAGGTTCTATAGTTGAAGTAAGGGTGCTGGAGATGAGTTTATTGTTGGGAGGACTTGAGAAATAAAAGGCATCTCACAATTTATAATCTTGGGATTCTGTAACTTGTAATAAATTTCCCAATAATGGAAGTATGTGGAAGACAATGGTATACAAAAGCTATGAACTTGAGCAAACATAAATGAAGAAGCCTGTCAGAAACATATCGAAACACAGTCGTTTTTGAGACGCGACATATTCATAGCCATCTTGCTCAAATTTCTGATACTTAGATCTCATTTGTCAATAAACGGCCAGCAAACGAGTCAAATAAACAGTCATACTTGCTAGAATCTTTTAGGCACTTGAAAAGAAACAGACATAGCACTGCTGAAAAATAGCGGGTGGGAGCGTTCAGTAGAGGATCAAGCTTGAGATTTCTGGCGCTTGCTGTGCTGCTGGATAGGCTCTTTGACCTGTAATAATTTTCAAAAAATGAAAGGAAAAAAAAAAAAAAAACGTGGTCACAACATAATTGCTACTTGGATACTATCTCGTGATTGATTTATAAAGACATTCGTTCAAGGAAATCATATAAATTGCTTCTTACCGTGCTCGTTTTCCTGAAACGTTTGTCCTGGCTTGCCCTGCTTTCCATTGCCACATCCATCTCATCTCCTTGGTGAGCATTAGTAACAGCCCGGCCATTTTCAGCACCAGGCACAAAACTCTCCCTCGAGGCTGCTGGCTGCTGAATTTGTTACAAAGAAAAATGCAGGGGAAAGTTTTAGCAACACTGAAAAAAAAATGCGAGAAATGGTGTAAAAGAGTTGATGGATTGAATAAAAAACCTCGGCCTTGCTGGTTGGAGTACTCCCACCAAGTTCCCTTCTCCTGGCAACACCTTGTTGATCTGTCCTGATGGAGCTGTTAGTGTGTGGCTCAGATCTGCCTCTTGTTCGTGTGACATCAGACCCAATGGAGTGAAGGCCCCCGCACGTGGACAAGTCCTTGTACTTGTTCTCTAATATACCATAACATAGGAATTATTCGAAATAAAATGAAAAATTGGTTTGTAAGTTACGGGCAGTGGAAAATGAGGCAGGTATGATTTGAGTTACCCGCACGATCGAGTTCTGGATGGTTGGACATGTCTACAGTTTGTTTCTTGTCAACCTCCTGATACACATAGAGGCCATAAGCATATAGAAGAAAACAACTATTGATTTACCAGATACACAACAATTGTATTATACCATAGCATCTGATACTGTTAAGAGCTTTGTGACTTCAATCAGCTTTTTCTTAGTAAGGTCAGTGTGGACCACACGCTTGCCTGGGACAAAGACAATTTAAATGTGACTGTAAGACCTTCACGTTGGTGAGAAAATGGATACTCGCATCCTATTTTTTACCGAGTTTACGACTGCTGCCAGCCTCAATGAAGCCGTCTTGTGTCATTTTGTCGATCAGCTTACGAACTGTAGTTGGGCTGGCTTCACCTTCAAGTTTGCTCTTAAGTTTTGGTACTGTTATGTATTCCAGTGGCAGAGTATGATATAATGCCTGAGACCAAGAGCCACAGTTAGTCTGTGGAGCTAGATATTTCAAATCATTATTTAAATGTAAAAATGGTGCTGGATGCAACTATAATCTGATTAATGAACTGTCTTGAGCAAAATTTTACTGATAATTGACATTTTCAAGTTGAAACACATCAAATGCTGGGGAATGTAGAGGTTCATTGGAAAAAAGTTATCCGAATATCTGGACTAAGAATAATTTGGCCATAAATAATCATAAACTTCTCTATTCTGAAGCTGCATCTCCCAAGTACCCAAAAACAAAGCACGCCCCCAAAATACAGAAATGAGGGGTAATATTGTCAACAAGAGTAAAGTTAAGTGATGCTACAGAAGAAATTGATTGTAGGAACTACCACAGCTACGTGAACTCATGAAAACCATGAATGAATTAAAAATAGAAGATCACAGAAGATTTATACCTTCATGTACATGCGATCTACCCCCATATATCCATCTTTTCCATATTGGGCTACCATTTGTACATCAACTTCTTCTTTCACAGCATCAAACTCATATTCAAATTTCTGAAGATGCAGATCATTAGGGAAAATAGATATAGCTCAGCAGAGTATATCAATCAGAAACATTAAGGCAGAAATAGAAAGAAAATTAACCTTTTTACTGTGAATGACATAACTCTCTCCTTCAGCTTTTGATATAAAACTTTCCTTCACAAGCTTGTCCATAAATTCTGGAAACACGAAGATTCAGCCAGAATCAACAACCAGAAAATACAGAAACTATTACAACCGTGTTTCTACTAGTTTTAGGAACAAGGGTCCTCCAGATACCTTCAATCAATACCTGCACATATTGAATTTTAAATATAAATACCATAAACCAGAAAATTTAGATGCTATAACCAGTAAATGTATCAAGTTTCCTTCTAAAGAACAGCATCAAAGGAGGTAGATAATCCATACCACGGAGATATCAGGGAAATATGAGAGGACATCAGTGAGCTCAATTGTGTCAAGGTGGTATGAGCTGATCCAATCCTTTACTCGTCCCAATTGTTGTTCATCATCTGCTAATTCTTGGGTATCATCTGTATTTTATAAGACACCAATTAGAATTCAATCTGAGCCAATTCAATATAGAAGTGTAGCTCAGTTTTCATGCTTATCTATATGGCACCTTCATCAACTGCTTCATTATCTTCGGGAAGCTGTCGTTTGTCTGTTACACAACATTCTAGAAGTACTTTTGTGTAGCCAAAAAACAAATGAACAAAATCTACTAAGATTTTACAAGAATTTACCTGTCGGTGCCACAATAAATCGATCATCATCTGAATCGTTGGTCTGAAGTAGGGAGTCAAAAGAAAATAATTTCTATGTCAAAGATTGCAAAATACCAAATTTATGTTTAACAATAAACTATAGATAACAGAGTAGTGACTTCAATTAACATCTTACATCACTGTCAGATTCACTGTATTCATCTTTTTGGATAGAATCAGCTCCCAAGCTAACATCATTATCTTGATTGTCATTGTTTTCGTCCTCACAAGGATCAAGCCTGCTCTTAACCTGTTGATTTCAATTAAGACACTAGTAAGGCCTGCAAGTGAAGAGAAAGACCCTTGTTCTAAAGTGCCATACCTTCAGGGCTAGTACTAAATGCTTGCTGTTTACTTTACCCACTTCCATCTTCAAAGGATTTCCTGTCCATGGATTATGAGCTTCCTCTTCTGTGCAGCCTCTGAAGAAAGGGGGCTCATAATCCATTGGCTGTAATATCAGGGAAAGAAGGTGAAAATTTTAAATTCCAGTTTCTGAATAATGCAAAGTAATTTTCATTTCTCCCGAGACAAAGTGTTACCGCTTGCACTTTGGGGGAGCAGAGTATTATCATCACATACCAGTCTTTCATTACTATATATGATAATTCAATATTCTACAGCCTCTCCACTAACTACAGTTCAAGACTACAAAAATAACCACAGTTAATACTTGAATGAGTGCACAAACTTCCCCATAAAAAAAATCCACACATCATAATCTTTTCTTGAATTTTAATATTAATATTCCAGTAGCTAGGGCTAGAATTGATGCCAGACATTTTTTGGTGCTGTCAATGACAAAAGTTTCACACGAAGGTGCACTTCTACTCTTCTACTGTCTACTTCTTTCATATGGGTAACAAAAGCAGGAACTTTTGTAGTTAAACTATGAATCATAAAATAAACTAAAATCTTACTGTGACATCGTCGTAATAAAGAAGCTTCATCAGCACAGTGCGCTGAGAGGATACAACAAGACAAATTAGCTTTATCAGGAAACGAAAAGTACGAACAGATAAACCAGATAAATCCATGTAGGTGAGACATTCTCCAGCTTATACCTCGTCTGGCATCTTGTCCAGAGTTCTCATCAGTTGAATTAGTGTGCGGACCATTTTGCACGCAGAACTCCTGTAGTTACATATTTATTGTGGAAATAGAGATACAGGATAAATCAGACGAAGCTACACGTATTCAACTACCTCATCTGAGTAGGGGTTATTTCCGTCACTGAGTTATGTGTAAATTTTCCTCCCTTCTTTGTCCCGCTACGATTAATGTTCATGGAGACCTCCTGACTGTCAGCACTGGAATAGCTGAATGAAACTGCAACAAAAACCCATCATCAGTGGCTGATCAAACCAAAAATGATAAAAGTACTCAACATAAGAACGTTTGAATAGAACTTAAGCGTCAAGTGTTCTAATATTCACTCATTTTTGGATATAGTAATTACTATTGGTAAACACTAGAAATCCTTCTGGCAAATGTTTAGGATAAAAAAATTAGCACAAATGCACAATTTCGTATTATGACTTTTCAGGTATAATATGAATTTCTTCTCTACGTGTCATTCTGGAAATGGTGGTTTGCTGAAGACTTACATGTATATTCCTCAATCATTGAACCATCCACTGCCTCACAGACACAGAACAAGAGTGTTTTCAGATATTTTTTCTGCAGAGCATCATAAACACCTATAGAGAAAGGAAAGCAATAGAAATGAATGAGCTACAGACATGGAAATGGAATGAATATAAGCTTTTAACAAACTTTTGCATCAAGATACCTTTCTCCATCCAATCAATGAGTCTGCGCGATTCAGCATCCATAGGCATAAGTTTTTTAATCTTCATATCTGTTACGAGTGAATGTTAATCAACTGAACTCAACAGATGGAGCATAAGTAGCAAGGATGACCGTATTCTAACTTACCCAGAGCTGGAACAGACTTATCATTAAAATATTTCTCTGGGAAAAGTCCTCTGATGTAACTGATATTGAATATTGCAATACGCAACAGATTCCTTGTCTGAAGAAATTAATGGCAATCTAAGCATGTTTGTCACAAAGATTTTATATCATATAAGGACTAAGATTTTGATGTTATCCACAATTATAAAAGCTACAGAAGAAACTAAGTTAGCACACAACACTGTTATCAGAGAACTAACCAGCATACCAATTCAAAGACAGTACAAGGCAATTCAATGAGTGCAGTCGGACTTATAATGAGAAACATATATTAGTTACAATCCTAGAACAGTGGGTACCACAGGTATTCCAGTCCACATGCTTACAAATATATGAACCTCCACATTATTGGAATGCATTTGAAGAATAAATAATTTCACAACGTTAGCAGGCGACCTCAATAATAACTCCAAGTATATTATATCTTTGAAGTACAGAAATTTCAAAGTGTCAAGTGGTAGTTGCTCAGATGTTATATTTTATGAAGAACAGTAAACTAAAAATCATCACACTCTTCAAAGGCTATCGCACACTAAGCAAAGCTACCAAAATTGATATATGGAGACTCTACAACCAGATAGACCAGATCTGTGTAACATCTGTATTCAACAACATGCTGGTAGTAAATTTGAACTCCAGCATAAACAACCTTGCTGGTACAGAATCACATTCTTATTGCAAACTGTAAATCTACTCATGAAACCAAAAAAAAAAAAAAAAACTCGAGAGGGAATTCATGATAGTTCACCAAGTTCAATAGCTCCCATTCAGTAAGAAAATCTCACAAGTAACATTTATCTCTGCTATATCAACGATAATGCATTCAAAGTAAAATGTAGAAATAGACTGAAGAAGGTGGCTCAGTAATACAGATATTGAAAAGGAAAAAAATCAAAACAAAACAGAATCTCATGTAACTGAACAATTGCAGATAGCTTGAATACCAACTAAGCAGAAGTCAAAAAAATCAAAATATGCAAACTCATCAATGAGAGTATCTGCATATTGCCTGACCGCAAGTGTGGAGATAAAAAGAGATCAGACAAAACAAAATTGATCCGCTATAATAAGTATATGCAGATTTGAATTCTGTGAAGCGTAACATCTATATCAGCATCCAACATTATCAAGGCGATTGAAAGGAAAAGCTAATAAGCAGAATTTCAGATTGAAACACGCACAAATGAACATGAACACAGGTTCACCACTTAATCCAACATTCAATAGACAAAAACTAGAAAAAGCAAAGATGAAAGAGTGATTTACGAGCAGAAGCGAGTCCTGCTCGGTGATCTCAGATTCCTTCACTTTCTGCGCGACTACCTGAGATGAAAGCAAGAGCACGGCAATGGGTAACCGGAAACTAGCAAGATAAAAACAACGTAAAAACGTAAAACGGTGAGCTTCTACGAGATATTTCTCTTAGCTCACCATTGTTTTGGCCCAGAGAGAAGCTTCGAGTTATCGGAAATTTTGCTATGAGAGAGTAGAACAGAAATGAACTGGCGGGAGGGGTTGGGGGGGTTTTATGTATGCTTTGCTTTGCGTGAGTACTAACTGTGGTTAACTTCTATCTACCATGATTAGGTCGTTGTTAACAGCACGAGGGACGTGCGTGCATACTTGCTGGCAATTGATTGGTGATCAAGTAATTTTGCTAGATAAAAAAGGGAAGGTTTGTGGTTGGACTAATCAGTACAAAAAAGAAAGGCAACTGGTCTATATAACTCGGTAATCGGATATAACAAAAAAAAAAAAAAAAAAAAA